CGTATGGCCAGGGCTCGTGTACATGGCTGGGTCGGAACGGAGAAACAACATCGTCGTCGTGTTCATTTTGAGGCAACGGAATGCGTCATGTTCATCGGGAGGCAACGGAATGCGTCGTGTTCATCTAGAGGCAACAGAAGCTTGGGAGCCAACCGACTTGGACGGAACAGGCGATGGGAACGAGGACTGGCGTACTGCATAACGGAGGAAACGACCTTGTGTTCGACCGACCACGTTTGAAACGGGATCTTGTTCATTGGGAGGGGTCTGGCGTACCGCAAAACGAAGGAAATGGACTTGTGTTGGACCTCCTACGGTCGAAACGGGGTCCTGTTGATCGAGAGGGGTGTGGCGTACCGCAAAACAGAGGAAACGGACTTGTGTTGGAGCGCTACGGTTGAAACGGGGGTCCTGTTCATCGGGAGGGGTGTGGCGTACCGCAAAATGGGACTCCACGGTATACTGTTCATCTCCACCATCGACCTCCTCCAGCCTCCACGAGCTACTGTTCATCCACCGTCGACCTCCTCCAGCCTCCACCTGCGACTGTTCATCCACGGGCTCGTGTTCATCCAGCCTCCATCGCGCGCTACTCCATCGGCTACTGTTCAACCACCCCTCTCCATGGGCTCCTGTTCAACCACCAACGGGCTACTGTTCATCCACCCCTCCATCGTCTACTATTCATCCAGCCCTCCACGGGGCCGTCCTGTTCATCCAGCCCCAACTGGCTCAATCGACCAGGGTCCTTTTCATCCAGAGGCAACACCACGGGGTCCTGTTCATCCACCCCCACCGCTCACTGTTCATCCAAACCCGCCTGCAACACTCACTGTTCATCTAGAGGCAGCATCGATCGGCTTCAGTTAGCAGCAGTAGCGAAGGAATCGCTCGATCGGGTTCAGTTAACAGCCATCGATTGATCGCTCGGGTTCAGTAACGCATAGCCTATAGTGCAATGGCTCGGGTTTAGTTAGAGCCCAACGCCTCGCTCGGGTTCAGTTAGAGCCCAACGCCTCGCACACACGCGCGTACGTGTACGAGAGAAACGCGCATCGCTCGGCCCCTGACCACCCACCGTAACCGAGACCTCCCCGAAATTTTCCTCGCGCTCGCTTCTACCACGCCTTTTTCCGTCATGGACGGCCCAAAGAATGTCATGCAGCTGCGTCTCCAGCCCGCCCAGGATGAAAAGCCCATTTTCTGTCATGATTTTTTGTCATAGAAGTAGGAGCGCACCACATCTATGATGATACCGGGTTTTGTCACAATTATCGTCATAAAAGTGTCATAGTTATGACAGAAAAAAATTCGTTTGGCCCAAAATGTCACGGATGTGTCTTTTTTTAGTGGTTCATAGGATACAATGCACAACACAAAGGAGTTAAATGCCTTGATGTGTCCACTGGCCATGTCTATATCTCTCGTAATGTGGTTTTTTATGAGACCAAATTCCCATTTGCTGATCTCCACCCAAATGCCGGTGCTCTCCTTCGCCAAGAAATCCTACTTCTTCCACCTCAACTCACCGGATTAGCTCAAGGGGGAAATAATTGTGATGACCATACATTGACTAATCCTCATAACCAACTGCATGAGCTTTGTTGTGATACAGATGCAGATGCGTTCAATATAGAAAATGGCGACGGAAACGACCAAAACAACCAAGAAATCAGTACAGAAGGGCGACATTTTATGTGTCCACCGTTGGGGGACAAATCCTCCTTGGGATTGCTGCCACAGGATCTGCCCAGGTGATCTGATTCGGGATCTGCGCCGCACACAGACGGCAGCATGCAGGAAACCGCGTCGCCTACCAGACGTGACGGTAGAAAACCAGCGGCTGCCGCACGGGGCACTCCAACTCGCCCCCGTGCGGGCGCTGAGCTGCACCAATCCGCAGCCACCATGCGGCTGCCTGAGAATCGCTGGGCGCCAGGTGGGCCCTGCTGCTACGAGCGACGACAGACGGCACGCGACTCCACGAGCACTGATTCATCCAGGCCCACGGTCTTGCGATCCAGCGCTGATCCTGCCGGCCCCGTGCAATCATCTGACAATGATGAGGGTGCAGCAAGCGCTGGGTCTGGCTCGAGATCTTCTGCACCATCTCTACCACACCAGCCACGTCCTGACGCCACAGAAGATCCGGGCGCACCTGACGGGGCTGCACCAGTGCCAGGGGGATCTGCTTCGGGATTGAGGACATGATACTCTGCGCCACGGCCTGCCGCGACATCTCCTGTACAACCACATACATGGCTCCAAAAAGGGGTAATTCAACATGTGAACTATAAAACCAAATTTGGTCTTGTTGCTTATTCTTCAGGTGAACCCAACACAATTGAGGAAGCCCTTCGTGATCCTCGGTGGAAGGAAGCCATGGAAGAAGAATACATGGCACTACAGAAAAACAAAACATGGCACTTGGTTCCTTCAAGGCAAGGTAAAAACTTAATTGACTGCAAGTGGGTCTTCAGAATTAAAAGGAAATCTGATGGAACCATAGACTGCTACAAGGCCAGAGTTGTTGAAAAAGGATTCAAACAACGATATGGTATAGATTATGAGGACACCTTTAGTCCCATTGTTAAGGCTGCTACTATTCGCCTTGTGTTGCCTATTGCTGTTTCCAGGGGATGGTGCCTTAGAAAGCTAGATGTACAGAACGCGCTCCTTCATGGTGTTCTGGAAGAGGAAGTGTACATGAGACAACCTCCTGGGTTTGTAAGCAAAAACTCACCATTTCATGTATGCAAACTTGATAAAGCTTTATATGGACTCAAGCAGGCCCCCGAAGCATGGTACTCACGCTTAAGTCAGAAGCTGCATGCACTTGGTTTTGTTTCCTCCAAGTCTGACACGTCACTGTTTATTTACAATAAGTCTAATACATCCATATTTGTTCTCATATATGTTGCTGATATTATTGTCACAAGCTCATCTAAAAAAGCAGTGACAGGATTACTGAAAGACTTGAGTGCTGAGTTTGCTCAAGGATTTGGGAGATTTGCATTTCTTCTTAGGGATTGAAGTTAAGAAACATGGTGATGGTCTTCATCTCTCTCAAAAAAAATGTCACTGATCTGGTAAGAAGAGCTGGTCTTCAAGGATGTAATCCCTCACCAACTCCTTTATCCAGTTCAGAAAAATTGTCTCTTACAGAAGGAGATCCTTTGAATCAAGCTGATAGTACAAATTACAGAAGTTTAGTAGGAGCACTACAGTACTTGACATTGCCAAGGCCTGATATTTCTTTTACTGTTAATAAAGTGTGTCAGATCCTTCATGCACCTACCACAGTTCACTGAATAGCTACAAAACGCATAGTGAGATATGTGAAAGGTACCATGAAACTTGGGTTAACCTTCAACAGATCTTCATCTGCTCTTGTTAGTGCCTTTTCTGATTCAGACTGGGCAGGATGTCTGGATGATAGACATTCTACTGGTGGATTTGCAATATTTTTTGGACCTAACCTTATATCATGGTGTGCAAATAAACAGGCTACTGTGTCTAGGTCAAGTACAGAAGCTGAATACAAAGCACTTGCCAATGCCACAGCAGAAATCATTTGGGTTCAGTCCATGTTGAAAGAACTTGGACTAAAATCCACACAGGCTCCCTGCTTATGGTGTGATAATCTTGGTGCTACCTATTTGTCTACTAACCCTGTGTTCCATGCAAGAACAAAACACATTGAGATCGATTTTCACTTTGTCAGAGAACGAGTTGCTAATCGACAGTTGGAGATTCATTTTGTTCATTCTAGAGACCAGGTTGCAGATGGTTTCACAAAGGCATTACCTACAAGGAACTTTGATGAATTCAAACATAATCTCAATCTCATGGAGTTGTGATTAAGGGAGGGTGTTAAACATATTGCACCTAATGTTGTCATGATCACAGAAGCCTTCAGGCGCAGCAGGAAGAGATAGACTAGGTTGTCAGCATTCCTCTTTATCTCTTTGTAACAACTCCCTCTATCTCTATTCTATCTCTTGTAGCACAAGTTGTATCTCAACTACCAAAGCTTGTCTGCTATCAGGGAGGTCGCGGCCCTGCTATATAAACACGGAATCGTCGCCAGAGATGGTACGGCGTTAAAGCCTTTCTACAGGTTGATGTTCTCGTGTGCTTGATCACAAATCAAGCAACCCGAATGGGCATTTCTGCTTATCTAATTCTGCTACACAACTTAGTTTGCATGATCGTCAATTTGTATTTCAACTAGGTGGAGGATTTATCATAGAAATCTACTTATACGGCCTCCTACAATTATTGTGTTTTATACCTTACTGTAATTAGCTAGCTAATTATACATGTAATTTATAGTTCTTAGCACCCACATAGTAAGTACAAAATAACTTTTGCCCTTTGTGTTCGCTACTCACAAAGGTCACTGGAAGCATCGATATTTTCTGATGATGCCCATCTTCAAATGCATCCGTGTGTTCACACAATACTTATATGGCAGTACATTACACCGATAGTTCAATTTGGTAACCTTGTGTGGTTGTGCCTACCCTTTTAGGAGTTGATATGGTTCAGATGAATCATCCTGTATCTTATTTTGTTTTTGCCATAACAACCAAATATTGCGTAGAAGTTCTTTACCATGTAGTCTAATAGAATCATTATTTCACTTAGTAATGCTCTCATGGTTTAACATAGTAGATTCTCATTTATTGCATTGCAGAGTGAGCCGCATTGCGGAGTAAGAGTTGAGAGGATGTGCTGTTTGGATCCGAAACATGAAGAATCAGTCCTCTTCCAAGGTTAAATTTCTACTCCCTCCGTAAACTAATATAAGAGAGTTTAGATCACTACTTTAGTAATCTAAATGCTCTTATATTAGTTTACAGAGAGAGTACTTCCTTCTTAAATAGGCACAACTCTACACATCATCATCAATAGGCATAACTCTACGCATAATTCACCTCAATATCTGATGTTTCCTTTAGTTTCCCCACTTCATCTTGATGGATGTTTGTATTGTTCTAACCAACACTTGGCGCTTCCCTTGATCCTCCTACACTTTCACGGTTTCTGCTACCGTTCACATCTACATCCGGTGCCTCTTTCGCCTTCTCCCCGGCATCTTCAGGCTCTCCTCCATAACCAGTGCTGCTTGTGTTCCTTAAATCTGCACCAGGCGTTTCCTCTGGCGTCTCCACTTCATCTTCATGGACGCTTTTGCTGTGACCCACATGGTATATTTTCATTGGCTGCTCCATTGCACTTACATGACCTGTAGTTGTAGTTTCAGCTCTATTTTCTTCTGGTACCAACTCATGATTTCTCTGTATCACATTTGAGTCAAAGCCTCTTTCAGATATGTCGGCATGCGCTCTACCATCTTCCTCAGAGACCAGAATGGTCTTCTTTATTGTTCCAACCTTCACATACTTGCCCATGAATTTCTGCTCCCATTCTTGCAAGGCTTCCACCTCCAAAGGGCCTAAGCCTGAAACGTCACTGGTTAAATCACTCAGCTCAAATGACATCTTTGCCAATGCCCTACTCGCATCTCTTCCCGCAAACAATGCATATGGGCCACCAGGTCCATAGAACATCTTGTACCACACAAAGATGCTAGAAGTATGAAGGATGGATAAATATGTTGCAAACATTGATTTAAAATACAATAGTTAATACTGGCCTGGGTGTTGGCAATCATGAAGACACTCTCATCCGTACTCAGGGCCTTTGGTATGAAGTGAGATCTAGCGTATTTGTCATGGAGACACTAGTGGTAAGAGAAGGAGTACAATTAGCCTATGATCTTGGGTTGAGGAAAGTGATCATCAAAACCGATGCACAAGTTGTGGTGAACAAGTAGAATTTTTCTGCACTCAATCACTTGGAGATAGTTACCACTTTGAATGAGATTCAAGAGCTTTGCGGAAATTTTGAGGAATTTCGCCTAGTGGTTACAGCGAGAGAAGCAAATGAACTAGCTCATCTTTGCGCTAAACAGTGTAATTCCTCTAGGAGATGTTGTTTGTGGATAAAAACCCCATCCTTCCTTACGACTTATCTAATGAAGGATTGTAATTCCGTGAATTGATTAGCAAAGCTCTTGATTTCCAAAAAAATGGTTAGTACTGACATCCTTAAAATTAAGCCGGTTCAAAGTGATTAAGTTTGAATAGCATGAAATGTGCGATCTTCGTTAACACAGTTCGGTGCAGATCATGAGAATAATGCCACAATGGGTTTGTGACTGTCATGCAAACAAAACAAAAACCTAATCACTCTGAAGAACCAGCCCACTTACTTAGACAAGGAAATACACATCATATGTTTCTAGCTTCAGACAGTTCTATCTGATCAAACTATATTTGCCATGCCAAATTCATTGACTTGCAGGAATTAAAATATCCAGCACAAACTATCTGAGATCAAGCAAACTTATTTACAAATGACAAAGATTTAATGAGTTTGTATGTAATCTATCACTACTAAAACGTTTCCATGTAAGAATATCATCTCCTAACAGGTTAACAATGTCCTTTTCTAATGGACGCCGATAACACCCACACGTGTGGGCATTAAGGGGTCTGCCCACACATTTTGTGTGGTGTTTAAGAATATCAGCCACACGCCTACGTGTAGGCAAAACAAGTAATGCCCACACGCCTCTCTTTTTTCCTCGCAATCCCTCTCACATGCCCATGTGTGGGCAAAATAGATAACGCCCACAGGCCCGTACATTAGGCCTCCTACTGTCGTGGTTCTAAGTCTGACAGTAGAATGGGGGGTAGGTATGGAGAGGCAAGATCCTAGCTATGGAGTAGTTGTACACACGAGTGTTTAGCGAGTTCAGGCCCTTCTCGGAGGAAGTATCAGCCCTACGTCTTGGAGCCCGGAGGCGGTCAACTGATTTCTGTGTATATGAGTTACAGGGGTGCGAACCCTTCTACCAGTGGAGGGGGGTGGCTTATATAGAGGACGCCAGGACCCCAGCCCTCCCACGTAGCAGAGGATTAAAGTACATTAAGGCTGGGAGTTACTGGTAACGCCCTACTTAAAGTGTCATCATGACCATTAAGACTACTTAATTACAGACCGTTTGGATGCAGAGTAGATCCTGAACTCCTGATGGTCGAGTGGGTCTTGATGGTCGAGTGTCTTCAGGTTTGTTGAGTGTCTTCTAGCCAGTCGAGTGAAGTCTCTCTTGGTCGACTGGAAGGTAGCTTCGTCTAAGGATGTCCTTGGGCATGGTACCCTAGATAGGTCTATGACCCTACCCTAGGTACATATCCTCATCATTAACCCCCAAATGGATCGAGGTTCGAGTGAGGAAGGAGTTGATGATTTTCTCCGACTCATTTCTTGCGCTTTGATTGTGTCGTATCTTGGATTGGCGATTTTTCTTTCGGTGTGGGCATCAACTTTTACTTCAGTCGCCTTGATCCATTCTTATCTTCTGTCGAGTGAACTTTTGAACTCTGGAGAACTCCCGAGCGACGGATCGCGGGAAAGATATTGTCTGACAGACTGATCTGCCGCCAGCGGATTTTGCGGGATCCGAAATTTGGAAAGCGCGCGAAGCGGGGCGGTCCGCGGCAATCGGACGGGATAAGGCGTGGACGCCTCGATTTCCGCACCACCTTTTTCGCCAGGTATCGTGCGCGCGCGACTGTTTCGGGATGTGACAGGATCGCTCGGACCCACTCGTCAGCCACTCGGAAACGTCCCTATATAAAGCGCCGGGGGAGGGTTTTTTGAACAGTTCCCTCCCATTCTTCTCTCATCCCTCTCTGCCTCCGCCCACTGCGCCTGCTCCCGGCTCCGCCTACCCACCTCTTGCGCGCTTTGCGGGCGACAATGGTGAAGGAGAAGACGGCAGCCCTAGAGCGCGCGAAGAAGGCGACGGCGACGGGGCAAGCGAAGGGGAGACCGTCCAGTCGGGGCGGATCTTCGTCGAGGTCCCGCCTGCCGAAGGGTTGGGTCCAAGGAGATTGGATCCGCTCGACCATCATAGATAAAGATCTCAACGACCTGGCCAATGAGGGACTGATCCCCCACGGGTCAGCGAGGCTCCCGGGGTCCGAGTGTCAACCGCAACCGCAAGAGGGTGAGTGCGTTCTCTTAGCCACTCACGTAGATCGTGGTTTTTCTCTGCCGCCGAGTGTGTTCTTCCATGGGTTTCTGAATTTCTTTGGGGCGCAACTCCACCATTTCAATCCCAATTCCATCGCCTATCTTGCTGCCTTTGTGTCTATGTGCGAGAACTTCCTGGGTTGTCGACCGCACTGGGGTCTCTTCAAGCACATATTTACCTGTCGCTCATAGACAGTAAAAAGGCGAGTCCGGATGATGAGAGGACCAAGGTTATTCAGATGTGCGGGGGTCTTGGGATTCAGTTGAGGAATAAGAGCACTTTCCCGGCCATGACCCTTCCTGAGTCGGTCAGAGGGTGGCAGTCGACTTAGTTCTACTGCCAAGACGAGTCAACGCCGGGGTAGTCGACTGGTCTCCCTCCGTTCTCCATGGACCGAGTGGACAAACCGTCTTCTCTAAAGGTGCTTCCTGAGGAGAAAGCCGAGGTAAAAATGTTGATGGAGCGCGTGGTCCAACTCGTTCGGGACGGGGTGACGGGCATGGATCTTCTGGAAGTCTTCCTTAGGCGGCATATCCAACCGCTCCAGTACCGAGGCCACCCGATGTGGCTGTACTGCGGTACCGAAGACACCACTCGGGTCCATCCAGAAGCAGTCGACGACGCCACGCTGGAGAGGTGGGTGGCCGCCATCACAGGGAACAAGGACAACCCTCGAGGGGCTAGGACGATCCCGCCACTCGACTGTACTTATACGGCGGACGCGGTATGGCCACTTATTCCTGATTGTGATCTTGATTTATCCATTCTGTTTTGCCGCGAATCGGTCGATTGATCTTTGTTTTGTTGTCTGACAGGCCACCACCGAATTGTACTCGATGCCCAATGGGGCGCAGATGCCGGCTGAGGAGGAGGAAGGAAGCGGGGGCGAAAGCCCGGAGGAGTGGGATTCGGATGCTGACGACGACGACGAGGGTGATGAATCTGGTGAGGAGGAAGAAGAGGAGGAGGAGGAGGAGGAAGTTGCACCTCCCCGCTCGGAAAGACGCTCGAAGCTTGCCCATGATCCCGCGACTGAGCGGGGTAAGGGGGTCGCAACCGCTTCCCAGTCGACCAAGCGCCCTCGGACTACTTCTCCGGCACCGACTGAGAAGGCTCCGAAGCAATCTCGAGTGGCACCGTCGAAGCCTGCAAAGGTCTTGCCGAAGATGAAGATGGTGATCCCCACTATCTCAGGCTAATGGTAGTTTTGAGCTTTCCCTGTTTCATGAACTTGTTCTTGGTCGACTCACGGGTCAATCAACTGACTTTTGGAACTGCAGCGCTGCTACTTCCGACACTTCGGCGAGGGCCGAAGACCGCAAGATGGAGGATGCTGCAACCTCGAGACCTGGTATGACTCTTGTGCTGCCGTTTTCAGTCGACTGACTTATTGTCTCTAATTTTGATTCTTTCTGCAGTTTCCTCTAACATTGTTATTGACCTTCCTGACAACGACGACGAAGAACCACCACGGCTGAGGAGAAGCAAGAAAACGTCTGCTGGCAAGGCGACTCAGGATGTGCCAGCACCCGAGACGTTGGTCGTGGAGGGAGACAATGTCACTCGACCCACCGTAACCTTCGCGGTGCCGTTGACGAGTGCTTGCCCTTCGTCGTTGAGTGCTGCTCAACCCTCGCTTTTCTCCACCTACCCCGTTCCAGAAGACCAAGCCAGTGCTTCTAGAGAAGCGATACGCCAAGCGGGAGTCATGATGGAGCAAGTGAAGGCGATACGATAAGCTAGCCAGGCAGCCTATGACGCCAGTTCGGCTCTTCAGAGTAATGTTCAGGTCAGTCGGTCACTGCCTGTTCTGTTAGGATATGATATCTGTAAACTCTTCTTTCTGCAATTCTTAGAGTTTGGCCTGCACCCAGTGGGTGTGTCGATTGAAATTCTGGACTAGTGGGGGCACGCTGAGTGCACCCACTGGGTGTAGTCCCCAAGGCTATGGTCGACTGCTGGCAGTCGACTATAGTCTTTATGTCTTAAGATTTTTCCTTACTCGACTAGGTCGAATAGATTCATAGACCGGTGGGGGCACGCTGAGTGCACCCACTGGGTGTAGTCCCCAAGGCTATGGTCGACTGCTGGCAGTCGACTATAGTCTTTATGTCTTAAGATTTTTCCTTACTCGACTAGGTCGAATAGATTCATAGACCGGTGGGGGCACGCTGAGTGCACCCACTGGGTGTAGTCCCCGAGACTGTGGTCGACTGCTTGCGGTCGATTATAGTCTGAAGAACACCTCCGATTCTTTTTTGTGTTGTCGGTCGACTGGTCGACTCTAACTGATGAAACTAGTGGGGGCACGCTGAGTGCACCCACTGGGTGTAGTCCCCGAGACTATGGTCGAATGTTTGCATTCGGCCGTAGTCTTAGAAACGCTATGATTTTTCCTTACTCACTCGGAAGTGAATTGTCTTTGACATCTGTCGATCGGTTCTTCGTAGAAATCCTGTGACCTTG